AAAACAAATGTTAATCAAAGATTTTAATAAATTTAATTTCTACATTTCCATTATAAATTCCCGTAGGCAAAAGAATTATTTCAAATATGAAAATGTTTATTGGTAAACAAAATTTTTCAATGATTAATAATCAAAACTTGTTAAGCAATTTAAAACCAGAAAAAAATGGCATGAATATAAAGCAAGTGGAAATTTGATTCGTTAAAATATGTGTCACACATTGAACTGTGTCACACTGAAGCTAATAATAATTCTTTTCATTGAAAGGATCATTGCCAAATTTTAATTAAATTTGAGAATGGTTGAATAATTGCAAAAAAGATTATTCGAACTTCTCAAGAGATAATTTTATTTACATGATATGAATGAAAATATAATTGAGGGGATGATGTAAGCTTAGTGGACAAAAAAGCATTATGATGGAATAACATAGAAAGAGTAAAAGTCACATTTATGAATGGTCAACGCATCATGTGAATGGTCAATGATTGAGGCTTATTGGAAATAGAAACTGATGAATAATTTAGAAGGAAAAAAAAAGATAATGTTTTAATAATTGATGAACCGTTACCGACAGGCAGTACAATAACCTCAAACTACTTAATTATCACTTAATTATCACATATCACACAATTATCATATATGATTTTGGTGACAATACATGATAAATGGACATGGATGATTCTGTTGTTACGATATGATGATCCTGGATCTTGACAGTACATGATGAATTTAGATGATTCGGATGGCAAATCAATGGAATGTAATTGAATCTGGTGAGAGTAGATGAATTTGGTAATGATATATGATAATTCTGGTGACGGCAATAGCATATGATGAGTCTGATATGATGATACATGATGAATTTGATGATAATACATGATAAATCTGGTATATGCTGATTATGAAAAATTGTGATGTCACAAAATGCATGACCCTGGTGACAGTACCATGATGAAAAATAGATGATGAATTTAATGATTTTGAAAGTAAATGAAAAACGGTAAAATAATTTAATGGAGGAAAAAGAAAAGAAAGAAAGAAAAAGAATGCAAATATTTCTGATATTCAACAATTCGACAATTTCCCATATCTTTTTTTAATTTTCTTTGAGAATTAATTTAAATTTCGAGGAAAAAAAAAACCTTCAAAAGAAAAAATATTTTTGTTTTTTCTTTCTTTCTTTTTTTTTTCCTCCCCGAATTAAGCAATAATTTTATTATCCTAAAAATCACTCAGATTTTATTGTTAAAAAAAAAAAAAAAAACTAAAAATTTTTGAAAGAGCAAAAGAGGAAAAAGAAAAGATAAAAGTTACAAATGGGAAAAGTGATGAATGCCTCCTTAATGCATCAAGGGAATTAAACTAATGATTATAGCCGAAAAAATTTCTCATCTTTATAGAATTTAAAAAACTTTACTTTTGAACCACTATAATGATCATCATCATCATCATTATCAACATCAACATCAACATCATCAACATCATCATCATCATCAACATCATCACAACTACCACTATCATCATCATTATTATTACCACAATTACTATCATTGCTGCATATTCTTCATTCCTATAACAATCACATATCATCAATTGTCAGTTTATTGCCTCAACAGGATAAGCAGTAATAAATGTAACATAAGTGGAAAATGAGATGAAAAGGAAATGGAAGAAGGAGGAGAAGGAGGAAAAGGAAGAGGAAGAGGAAGAGGGAAGAGGAAAGAGGAAAAAGGGAAGAGGAGAATAGCAAATGCTTCATCATCAATCTATCTTAAGAGACAAAGTTAGATGATATCTTTAAGCTAGCTCTATTTAAAATCATAGCTATTCTACCACTACCGCTATCTTCTCTCATTATCTTTTTATTATTCTCATTTTATTTCGTTAAAATTTCACTTTTCCAATATTTATTTAAAATTATACCGATTGAAATTTGAAACTAAAATAACAACAATGTCGATTATTTCAGTACACTCAGACTCACATACATACATACACACACATACATACACATACATATACCACATACATACATACACATACACACATATACGATAATAATAGTAATAGGACAGACAAATATACAAACATTAAGAAAGATCAGTAAAACCCGATTAGACTGAACAACATCTCACTGATTTTCGCGAAATGCTTTAGCCATTGTCACCATTATTGTCATCACCTTCGCCCCTTAGCAATCACTGTCTATCCATTCTATTGTTCTTCATTATCTATCCGTCTGTCTGTGCATATGTGTGTGTGTGTGTGTGCGTGTGTCCGTCTGTCTGTGTGTTTGTGAATGTGTGTACACATATGTACATACACAATACTTGATATATAAATACATTACCACAGCTGACAATGACAGTATTGTCATCATTGTCACCCGCTATTATTATCATTGTTCTTTTAAGTGCTTTGAATGATAGACTGAAGTAGTCAATGAATTTTAAATTTGTTTTATTTAGCTAATGAGTCATTTATTTCAAAAAAAAAGAGAGACTATTTGTTTACTTAATTAGTATTTGCTTACTTGTTTGTCCATTTAAATAATGGACATTAGGCTAGCCAGTAAGTAAATAGTTAGTGAATCTTAAATTTTTTATTTTAACAAAATAAATTATTTTTTAAATAAGCGATCATTTATTTATTTGTTTGTTTACATGTTTACTTAATTAATTTACTCAATTACTTTATTATTTTATTATCAATTACTTTATTTTTATTTACTCAATTACTTCATTACTTATTTACTTAATTTTTGTCCATATATTTACATTCGATCCTATTTACCTTAATTTTTGGCTAAACTATAATGCCCTGCCTTAACTTATTTTACAAAATGATTTGATTTCATTGAAAATGATTTATTATTTTATATAAATAAAGCAATTGTCTCCTTTTTTAAGATTGTTTTAATTAATATTTTTGATTATTCAGCTGATATAATATTACAATAATCTAATCCTAATTTGATAACGAATAGCTGCTGTCATCTGTTAATTGTCACCTGAAAGTGATTCATAATGTCCTTGCTTTGCTTCCTTTACACGATATTAGATGAAATCATATTGGTGACAAAAGTCATCATTTTGATAGCTTGGTTGTTCATGAGGCTTCTAAAGATTTTTTACACTTTGTATTAGATGAGATTATATCTTTTCTAAATTTGAATTTTGATATTTCTTTCTTTTCTTTTCGATATGGTTACTCTCAAATTGTTTTACACATTTTTCGTGATCTTTGCTTGACCTTAGCCATTTCGTGACCTTAACTTGACCTTAGCCGAAAAATTAAATGTTGAAATTTTTCGTCAAAGTTGAGATTAGACAATGAAGATTGTGAAAGGAATTTAAATAAGTTTGAGAAGAATTACCACTCTTTATGCTATTTATCACAAAAAAAAAAACAAGAAATTGATTGATAAGTAATTTTCTAATTACCTGATCAATAATTAATCAATAATTACTTAATCTTTTTTAATGGGTAATTTTCTGCAAGTAATAAAATTGAAATTCAACAGATTTATGAAATTTTATTTAAATGGAAATTTTCGATTTGATAGGCCATTGCTCTTTTAATTCTATTTATTATTCCAACAATGTTGCAATCATCACTTTCTCCTTAATTTCAAATATCGTCACTAAAAAAAAGAAAAAAAAAGGAAAACGAAGTTCTGAATGTATTTATTTTACATATTTCTGAGAAAGATAAAATAAAAGCATAAAATGAATGTTATTTAAGATGAAATTTAAATTAAATTTTATACTCAAATCATAAATAGAAATAGGAAATTAAATGTTATCAATTTTCCATTTCACTCATTTTATCAGTTTAAGTAATTTCAAATACTATCAAATGCCATTGTTCCATTTATTTCTCATTCCCATCTCTTTCATATAAACTTGATTACCTTAGTAGTAGTTTAGTGATAACATTACTGATAAGTTCAATCTGCATCAATTGTTTTAAATAGGTTGCAAGCTTATCCTTGTATAGTGATAATTATCAGAAAAAAAAAAATTTTTAACACTCTTCAATATTATACTTTTTTAAATGATCTAAGATAAATTTGGAAATGACAAAATGTGTCACCTAAAATGTCACATATTATCAATTCGATATTTGAGTATAAAATTAAATGAATCATTGAAATAAACCAATAATGATACATTTTACTTCCACAAATATAAGCATGGAAATAGTCAAAGAGCATCGTTTCATTACATCTCCAAACATTATCATTCTAATCTTTCTCTCTCTCTCTCTCTCTCTCCTTCTCTCTCTCTTTCCTTGTTATGGAATATGATATGACAATGATTATTAGCTTATGATTATTTATTGCGATATAATTGCAAATTAGTGAAATTCAATAATCAATCGATATGATAATTCTTAAGATAATTCATCCGTATCCTACCAGTTAGTTATAATGTCCATTCATTATGTAAGAAGAAAAAGATACTTTTGATGTAAACATCCGTGATATTATCTCTATTCTCAAATTACCTCCCAAATGTTTCAATACAAATATGCAACATTTTTATGATACGGAAGAATTTTTCACTGCATATGTTTTATAAATTATATTTAATCGATTGACATTACAATAAAACTTGAAATGTTGTTGTTGTTGTTGTTATCATTTTTGTCGTTGTTTGTTGTTGTTTGTTGTTGTTGTTGTTGTTGTTCGTTGTTTGTGTTGTTGTCGTTCTTTTTGTCGT